CATGTTAATATTTTCTTGTTATTTGTACATTTTATAATTGTATATTATATCTTATATACGAATATATCGTATCTTATTTTATTATATATGTATATGTATATATTATATTTTATATCTTTGATAATTTGTAAATAATTATTGTAATTTATCTAACATGCTTAACAAATATTAAAATAAGGAAGAGATAACAATTTTAACATGAATAAAATTATTGATTATTTTTCAGTTCTTTGCGCAACAAAATAGGACGTAATGAACTCGCTCGATCCTCTACAGATTTTTTTCTTGTTTAGAAGGAAAAATTTAAATAAATATGTTGATTCATCAACATTTGTCTTTTGTTTGTCATTCATGATTCAAATAAACTAGTCAAATAAAGAAATACTCATCAAAAAATAATTTATTGATCTACAAAAAGAGTTTAATATTATTTTTGTTCGAAGTAGTTGGGGTGTGGAATAATCAAAGTGTCATTAACGTGTCAAAAAGATTTTAGTCAATATTAAATGATAAATAGAAAATTTTGAATTCTTTTTAGAAGTGTTTTTTCTATTCAATAATTATAACGTGTTTACAAAAGAATTTGTTTTCTTTTATGATTATTCCTAAATCATGTAGCGAATTGTATCTGTTAGTTTTCTTTTGTCATATTGCGGTTATATGAATTTTAAATATTACAATACACATGGTTTTTTGAAAATATCTAAATGCTTGATATTTATTTTATAAGCAATATTTAGCAACGAAAAAAATCAATTATTCGTAGTTTAACGTTTATCTAGCTAGTGTTTCTATAGCATCCTAAACGATAAAATATCGGAATTATTGAAATCAAGTTTCAATTTTGATCTCTACATATAACAACAGTAAAGGTTTGATGTAGTTTAACATAGACAATTATTCGAAAGCACTTTTTCTTTTCTAGCATGTTATTAAAGTTCTGAGAAAATTTTCTCTTTCAAACTATCTACATTTGATTGCCTTCCAAATTGCTGTTCTGCATGATTCCAAAATGAATCAATACTCGAAGGCATTTTTGTATTATGAAAAAAGCTCAGAGCATTCTGAAATAAAGTCTTTGTCTCAAATTATTTTTTATTAGCTACTTTCTACCATAATATTGGTGTACCATAAAGATCGAATTGGTTTGATATACTACAATAAGTGCAACTATTCAAAAGCACTCGCATATTTGTTTCTTTGGAGCACACTCTTGACATTCGACAACGTTTACTATCCTGTAATCATTTCAATCTTCAAGAAATACTTAAGAAAAAACATGGACTTCATAAAAAACAGAATCATAAATGAATTTTTGTTTTGTTCAAAAAAATCTATAAGAAATAGAACGTTTAGAGAAATATTCTCCTTCGAAGGAATACACAGATTTATGTAGAGGATGTCTATTAAGATCAAAATGATTGTTTGATTTATATCAAAAATGATATGTGATAATTTATTATTTATTTATCTTTCTCAGTAGACAATGTAGTTTATTAATTTGTTCATCGTTTTCATAGTTCTAATAAACGAATGATTATTTTAATTATAGAAACAGATTAGAAAATTTTTCAATTTTTAACATACAAGCTAAGAGTATAAAAAAAAACTTGAACATCTTTGAATAAGTTCTTTTTTAATTTTGATAATATATTTGTGGAAGTTTTACTCTATATATTCTTCGTTAAACATCTGTAGCCATAGATATTAGAATGCAAATAGTTTTATTAATCACCGAATTTTAGTCACATATAGTCATAAAATGAAAAATGCATGACTAGTTTTGAAACACAAATATCAGACATTCACAACATTAGAGATACCTTTCAATGCTTTTATGAACTCATTATAATAGCATATCGACGATTCTTTGAAATACTTTGAAAAATTACCGTAGACAAAGTTGACGACGTTCATAATAATTGTTGAAAAGGTCTCGATTAAGTGTTTCTCGCTGATACAATAGCTTGCTTCATTTCACAAGCAACAGCACACAGCGACGACATAAAGAAATATAATTCACGAAGAAGTTTTTCTAAGATCAATTGAGATTCTAGGATTTCGACATCAACAGCCAAGAAAATTCATTTATATGTCAAATGGAGTTTCTCGTAATCAAATGATTTATTTCTAAATATACACTGAAAACGAATGTACATAAACAGAACAATAGAAAATCTGTTTATGACTCGAACTTGAAATTTGGTTGCCGTTGATTCGGTTCATTCATTCAAAAAAAAAGCAAAATTTGATAATTCGACACCAAGATCAATTTTAGAACATCCTGTCGGTTTTCTGCAGAAAGAAAATTTAATTAGTGATCTTATTTTTCAAAAATAAAATTCACATCAATTGCTTAATATACTTGCTACAAAACTTATTCATGTTTCTGCTAGATTATCACCAGTTGAACGTATGTGTTATCAAAGTAGTCTTTTAAGAAGATTGCATCGTTGAAATTTTGTATAAGTTAATATTTACATTTGAACATCTTGGCAGTACAATAAGATATTATTTACATATTAATAAATATATAGTAGGTATGTCATTTGATTTTATTTAGGATTGTTCGTATTTTGTTTTTGTGTATTAAAACTAGGAAGAAGATATTGTATCAAGTCAAAAAAACTTGTTATTAATGTTCTTTATAAAAATAAATAGAAAACGACAGAATCGCAAAAATAACTTGACTCGAATCGAAAAGAAACTGTACACAGTCAACTTTGACTCTGATTGAATTCAAGAATGAGAACAAATAATGAAAATAAATTAGATTAAAACTAAACTTTCTGTAGACTTTTTCAAATATTTCGAAATGAATTGATTTATATATTTGAGGTGATAGTAATCTTTTTGAGCTGTTGTTTTAAATCAAATTATATAAAATAAAACATCGACGAACATAATATACAGTGACGGCCAAAATTATTCATACAGCTGAAGAAAATTTTGAAATAGCTATATCTCCGCAAGGGTTAATTTTTTTGAGCTGCGGTTTCCGTCAGAATGTAGAATACTATGTATAGTATACTTGTAAAACGTTTCAGCTTGATCTGCCATCAAATGTTTGTTTTAGATAACAAAGAAGGAAAATCATGTGTTTCAGTTTCGCTCAAAATTATTCATACAGTTCCTATAAATTAAATATGAAAATATGAAAGTGGTGATTTTTTATTTCACCTGTTTGATCTCTGTGACAGCTGAAAACGATTTATCCTACGAAGTAATACGTGTTTTGCGGTTAAAAAACTATTTCTAGTCCTAAAAATAGCGATATTGAGAAATTCTGACTCATTAAAATCGTCATATTTGCATGTATCATTGTATGAACTGTATAAATAATTTTGAGCGAAATTGAAACACATGATTTTCCTTCTTTGTTATCTAAAACAAACATTTGATGGCAGATCAAGCTGAATATACTATACATAGTATTCTACATTCTGACGGAAACCGCAGCTCAAAAAACTTAACCCTTGCGGAGATATAGCTCTTTCAAAATTTTCTTCAGCTGTATGAATAATTTTGGCCGCCACTGTATATATATCACTTGGCTTGTTTAACAAATATTACGTTTGGTTTCTCACGAGTCTTTCATGAAAACAATAAGAAGCTGACAATTTATTCAAAAGCATAATGTACGACAATGCCAAGAATAATTTATTTAACATTATTTAATTCTAAAATATTTTATGAATCTTAAAACCTGAGTAATTAAAAGAACATACGAGGACTTCATCGTAAAGCTTGAGAGTTTCAATTGAATTTCAGCATTTTAATATAGATTACACCTCTGAATATTACCATGAAATTGAATCTATTTTGGATGTGTATTGCATTACCAAAACTCTTGTAAGTCCTATTCGAATTACATATACTTCGTTTTAAAATTTATATCGCTAGTATATGACTGAGTATTATGGATAGTAAAAAAATATCTTTACAGCATGTGTTAAACAGAAAACAACAGATATTAATAGAAGATTATTAATAGTCACTTTTCTACATCAACATAAAGGTCACGAGTCCATGTTTTTTTATTACATAAAATGTTGACAAAAGTCGGACAAGTTACTAGGTACTTTCATCATTTGCATTAGATAATACATGAAAAAATGTATTCCACTCTCTCTCTCCTTTAGGACTCATTCCATACTAGATATACATACAAATTTCAGTACCTACTTATTTTTGTCTAGACCTCAGAAAGAAAAGAAAAAATAGATGCCACGATGTTTTGACAAACATGTATTTTCGAAAGTATAAAATACGTGATCTACATAACTTTTCTCGTTTTCTCTCTCTTCCTCCTGCACCCTTTTCTCCTACTTTCTATCGCTCTTTCTCTTTCTCTTTCTCTCTCTCTCTCTCGTCCATCTATCATGGATATAAAAAGTTTGAAAAATAAATGTAACTAGAAAAAAAAAATCATTAAACATTGGCTTAAAGTTGATTTTACAACAAATGGAAACATCAATGGATATTGTAATTTGTCTCGATTGTACATCATCCGTTGCTTCTTTTATTTGTCAAGTTCGTGATCGAATATGGTCGATCATTGAACCAATTATTGAAAACAAAAATGATATTCGCTTAGCATTAATCGAATTTCGATCACATGATGATTCTTGGGTTACTGTTATTCATCCATTTACACATTCAGCACGTTTATTTCAAGATTGGCTTAGTAATACTCAAGCTGAAGGAGGTAGTCAAGATGGAACAAGAGCTATAAGTAAGATAGATAAAAAAATTCTTTTATTATATATATATATATATATATTTCCAATATGTTTCAGGTGATGCTCTTCGTGAAGCTCTTAAACTTGAATGGCGTTCAAATGTAAGTAAAACTCATTTGCATGACAAATCAAATCAAATTTTCTATATTAGGATCCTGATCGATGGCATGAAAAACTCATTATAATGATTACCGGTGGTCCTCCATGTGGTCTTTTAACTGATTTACCAACAGAAATGCAAATCAATGATTGTCCATATGATACTAATGATCTCTGGATAATGTCTGAAGAACTTGTCAAAGAAAATCTCACATTAGCAATTGTAGGTATTGAACCAAGTGTAATTGTATGTGATGATTTTTATGGTGCATTAGCTAAGAATACCGGTAAATAATTTTCTAATAAAAATTGCTTTTGAAATAATTTTTCTTTAGGTGGAGAATATATTCCGTTAATAAATGCTAGTCATATACTTTCGTCAATTATTCAATCAGTTATTATTGAAGAAGATACATTATTACAACAATTTCGTCATATAGATATAAATGAAATTGAAAAAAATTCTTTATATCGTCATTCATATGTACAAAAACGTGCACAATCTATGGTTGAACAGTGTCAAACAATGGCTGATATTCGAAATTGGTTAAAAAATCATCCTGCGCGAAGTCATTATTGATTTAGTTATAAATAAAATCTATTAGCATTTTTTTTTTTTTTGTTAAATTCTACATTGATAATAGAATAAAACGGTTCTTTTTCTAGTCATTTCTTTCTTTTGCATTCATTCATACGGGACATTCTTCAATGGTTGGTTGTTTATTAATCCAATCATATTGTTTGTCCTCCACAAAAAGAGGAAAAAAACATTTCTATTTCATTCATATCAATTAATTAGTTTTATAAAATTAAATTTTCATATCAAGAAAAGATTTATGAAAGCTAATTTATAGTAAACTAAACCCGATCACTAGTTGACCAATCAGAATGAATCTGTACGCAATATTGTTTACTTGTTACTCTTGATATTCTTTTTCTTTTTCTTTTTTTTTTAATATTCGATTAGTAAATTTAAATTTTTCATATGTTTTATTTTTAGATCATATTAGATAAATATGCCACGTGTTCCGTTGGTATATAATAAAACTTATTCAACACCGCGGCGTCCTTATGAAAAAGAACGTCTTGATCAAGAACTTGAGCTTATCGGTAAATTTGGTTTAAGAAATAAACGTGAAGTATGGCGTGTACGTTATACATTGGCAAAAATTCGAAAAGCTGCCCGTGAATTACTTACACTTGAAGAAAAAGATCCAAAACGATTATTTGAAGGTAATGCTTTACTTCGTCGACTTGTTCGTATTGGTGTACTTGATGAATCGAAAATGAAACTCGATTATGTATTGGGTTTAAAAGTTGAAGATTTTTTGGAACGTCGTCTTCAAACACAACTTTTAAGACTTGCACTTGCTAAAAGTATTCATCATGCTCGTGTACTTATTCGTCAACGACATATTCGGTATGATTAAAATAAATTATAAAATAGAAAATTATTTTATTTTTTTTGGTTAGTGTACGAAAACAAGTTGTTAATATTCCATCATTTATTGTTCGACTTGATTCACAAAAACATATCGATTTTGCACTTCGTTCACCATTGTCCAGTGGTGGTCGACCAGGTCTATTTAGATTTAAATTGAATTTTTTAAATTTATATAAATATGTTAATTTTTTTTTTTTGATTTAGGTCGTGTTAAACGAAAAAATATGAGAAAAGGAGAAAAAGGTGCCGATGAAGATGCCGATGAAGATTAAACATTAAATCAAATAAACACACACATAGTATCATATATAACAGTTTATAAAAAACATACATGTTTCTGTTGTTTTTATTCTTGTATTGTGTGTGTTATTGTTTTGTCGATTCGACTATCATCAACAACAAAGGAAAAAAAAAGAAGAGAAGAAAAAAAAAAAGAAATAATGATTATTACCTTCTCGACTTAGAGAAATAATTTACTATCTACAGTTTTATACTTTTTAGAAAAAAGAATAATGAATATATAAATCAGTAGATGATCATTCGATGAAAGTAATTTCTTAAAGATTTATTCATGTATTATTGACGAATTTGGTGAAACATAATTTGAAAGGAGTGTTGAAGTATATAGGGTAAAAAATTTGAATCCACTCCTCTACACACCGTGTCACAGATTGTTTATATTTTTATAACTCTGTCCCACAGAATATCTTGAATCAGCAACTATTATTTGTCTTTGTATGTTCGCTATAAGATTGAGAAACATGTCTCAGAGATTCTAAATTGATGATGGAAGTCTTCAAACTGATTAAGAGCTTTGGCATCGAGATTCTACGATTTCAATGAGAATACGTTTTTTTTCCGAAAATTTCAGATCTTTTGCTAATTCGCATGTTAAGATATAAGCTAGAATAAAAGTGTATGTTTTATATGCATGATATACAATAATAGGTTTTATCTTCTTTTTCCCGTGATCGAGTAAATAAAAAGACTTGAAATTTTCATCATAATCTATATTCGTTAAGACTGATGTCTGTTAACAATGTGAAATCGCAATTCGAAAATTAGTTTTTTCTGAAAGGAGATCATAACATTTTTGCTTAAAAGTAACATCATAGCGCAGTATCTCAAGAACAATTATTTAGCAGCTCGCACCCTTTTCTGGATATTCAGCCCTCATTAAAATCTACACGATACACGTTGTTCCCAGTTAATTGAGTCATTGATGGGAGGACTTCTCACACGAGATCTGATATTGTTTCATCATAACGATCGTTTAATTTTACACCTTAATTGTTTTTAACAAATTATTATTTTAATTTAACATTCAAGAATTCTCAATATAGAATGATGATGAGTTCGAAATACTTTATATTCTACTGCACTTATTCTTTTAATAAAATAAGACATTCAAAAGCTTGAGATTTCTATTCGAAAGTTTGCTTAATCAAACGATTAAATTATTAAGTTACTTTCATTATCAGATAGATTTAATGAGCATTGAACATATATATAGTCTTTTTTCTTATTTTAGATTGATTTCAATGGGTAAGCCTCGTAAAAAATCTACACAATCATCTGAAAAAAATAGTCGATTAAAACAGCAAAATAATCCAGATCTATTCTTATCAAATGGAAATAATAATGACGATGATGATCATGGATTTAATGATGATGATGATGAAATAGATGCATTTTATAAAGAACGTGATGAAAATCTTCGAACGGCATTATCGAAAACAACAAATAAAAAATCATCAAAAAATAAAAAAAGTGTTTCATGGGCATTAGATAATAATGATTCTGATGATGAAAATAATCGCGATGAAGTACTTGCTTTTGATGATGATGATTCAATGGCAAGTGATGATGATAATGATAATGAATATCAACAAATAGAAGGTGATATTGATGATGATGATAATGAAGAAGGAGACATAGATGAAGATCTTGGTGGTTCATGGGGAACATCTCGAAAAATATTTTATAATGAAGATGCAAATGTTGATGACGAAGATGCTAAATTAGAAGAACAAGAAGCTATACAAATTCAAAAAAAATATTATGATATGTTAGAAAAAAATGATTTTGGTTTAGATTTATTTCAACAAAAACCATCAACAATATCAATTGATCGTAATCTTGATGAACAAGCATTACAACGTCATATTATATTACCAAATAATCTTCTTGAATTAAGTTCAAATGAACGTTTACAATTAATACGAGATCAATCACCTGAATTAGAATCATTATGTAATGAATTTAAAAATATTTTTGATGATCTTAAAATATATCTTTTACCATTTATACAACTTGTTATTGATACATCATCATTAGAAGAATTTCATTCATATTCTGGATGGCAATTTATTCTTTCTATTATTGAACTTTATCTTACTTATTGTTCATATTTAAGTTTATATTTAATGATGAAATCAACAGATTTAAATATATCAAAACATCCAATTATAAATGATATTGAACAATATAGAAAATTATGTCAATTAGTTAATGATGATTTTCAATCAATGAAATCGGATTTATTGAAATTATGTGAATTACTTCAAGAGAAAAAATTGAAAATAAATCAATCATCTGTATCAAAACAAAATCAACTCACATCCAAACCACATCTTATTATGAATAATGGAATTCCATTACCAATTAAAACAACGGTAAGAGAGAAAACAAGCATGAAACGAAGAAAAATCGAATTTATCAATGTATTCACTTACACGATAAACATGTAGAATGGATATATATTTTTGCATAACGAGGGAATCGGCTGAAATGATTCATTACTGTTCAGTTTTATGTTTTGGATGTCTAAAAGAGAACTAATAGACTAGAATCATCCGAATAGGATCAGTCCTCAGAGACTTTTTCTGTACAGTTACATTGATTTTATTCGACTTTAGTCATAGGATAGTGTATGAAGAAGTAAGTTGAACAAAGAATTTTTGATTTGATATATTCTCTATAATTAGATGTCCCTATTTCGATATTAAAGCTACATTTTTTTTTATTCTATAAATTTGTAATACAAAATGAGATAATTACTAAAGTCGTTTTCTAGTTGATTCTAGAAAACTTTATTTAGTATCAAGAATTAATGTGATTTATTCAAATCATTAAATTTATCTACTAATAGCAAATATAACACATCTGAATAGGACCGAAAGAGAATCATAAAATTGACGAGTACATTCTTGCCTGCATTTTAATTATTTTTATTCTTTGTTTTATACTAATTTTAATATGTTTAATTATCAAGAAAATAGTCGCCGAGAAAATTACTAATATTGAAGTTTTTTTTGGAAATAACTTTTTTCTAACACAAAAATTTGCCATTTTTGTTTCTTATATTTAGAATGGAACTACTGCTAAACCATCTCTACGTGAACGTATGATGAAGAGAAGAGAAGAAAAAATGAATACTGAAACAGAAATTGAATCAAAAGAAGATAAACCACAAAAACGTGGTATTACCTATGAAATTGAAAAGAACAAAGGTTTAACAGCTAAACGTAAAAAAGAATATCGAAATCCACGTGTACGACATCGTAATAAATATGCAAAAGCATTAATTAAGCGTAAAAGTCGTGTACCAACAGCACGAACTGAAGAAGAAAAATATACCGGTGAACCGACAGGTATTCGTGCTGGTATTAAACGTGGCATTAAACTTAAGTCTTAAACGTGGTTTTCTTTTTTTTGTGTGTTTATTTGTTTTTCAAAAATAAAAAAAAACAATATTGGAAGAGTTTATATTTCAAATTTCACAACCACCTTGGGCACAAATAGTTTCCAATGTTTTTTGAGCTTCAGGAATTCCAGCTTCAGCTGCTTGTTCAATTAATTTACGTGCTTCACTAAATATTTTAGGAAAATATAAGAATAAAATTTTATTTGAATTTCATATTATAATACCCTGGTTGAAGACCTGTATTAAAGCCTCGTAAATGAGAAATAGCTAAATTATATTGAGCTTTAGCATGTCCTTGGTCTGATGCTTGTTTAAGCCAGTATACAGCTGATTCTGCATGATGATCAGCACCGACACCTTAATCAAATAATTTAGTTTGAAAAAGATAAAAACACAATAGACTAAATGTTCAAGTTTTACCATGCATATA